TCCTAAGGTCTGGACCAACACGTTACTAGGGAGCCTTAGGGGCCCATCTGCTACTCGCTGGGGTTTTCAGCTCACAGGTGACAGTGATCAGTCGATCAGTAACTGCATGTGGGGGAAGACACCTGATCCAGGAGACTCAGAGGCAGGAATCAGTGAAGCATCGGGAACTGCCTGGCCTCCTGCCAACCGCCCACCATCCTGTGACTGGCCTGCTGGGAGATGCCGGGCTCTGGGACACCCCTTGCCTTCCACTTGCCCTGTGACTTCTCAGTTTTTATTTGTAGATTGTCCTACCTCTTTGAAAGAGTCATCTTTTATCCTTAACAAGTTAGGACTTCACTTCTGAGTACTATTTATATGCCTCCCTCAATGCTATGTGGGGTTCATACAAATACTTCACACATTCCTTCTTGATATAAGGTATCCTTAAACCAGCTCCATTACCTTCCAAATTTACTGAAGTATGAGGTAAACATACTTGTATGAAGGGCAAGGAAAGCTAAAATTTAATAGCCATTCGTAAGCATTCTATTTCTTTCCAGAATTCTGACTCAAGTGGTGCTTGAAACGTAGAACTGAATCACGGATTAAGAATATTATTTTCTAAGTGACCTCTGCAGTCTGACTTACAGGTGCTAAGGCCTTAAAGCTTTGGTTCCTCTTGGTTTGTTATTCTAGTCCAAACCTCTCTCTGCTTGTTTTATGGGGACTAGTTCATGACATGTTTGCAGAAACGTCAGCTCATTTTTCATTTGTGAGCTCACCAGATCAATTCCAAGCATCTGTCCAGACTTGCTGATTACCTGGTTTTCTACAAACAACAAAACTTCTATCTCTGTTCAGAGGAAACAAAGGGAAGCTACCTCCAAATGACAGCCTTTAAACAGTCACATATTAGCTATAATGAATGCACTTCTGCTACCTCTAAATACAATTCCTGGGTACAGAGCAGAGCTTTATAGTAGGAAATGGGAAAAAGAGGCCACTTGCTACAGGTTGAGGAATAATATTCAAGCTTCAATCGAGAAGAGAGTTCACTTTTAGGATAAAAATCAATGGATTTTTAAATTTAAAAATCGGTTCATTACTACATATATGTAGTAAAAAAAAAAAATATCAAACATAGCTCACATCCCAACAATGCTGTTACACTCCTAGGGTGTGTGATCTTCATTTTGAAAACAACTGTTGCCCATGGACCCAGAGGACATGTAAATTTGCAATATCCATCAGTCACTCCGTCAAAATCATAAAATCCTTCCTGTCCCTGTTGCAGATCTCAAAGCAACATCACGGCAGGAATGTAATCAAGCATAACAGTCATATTTACAATATGCAATTTAACTGCAATGACACACATAAGAACCTCTTTATCGCAAGGTTTCCCTGAGACATTTGTGTCCTCCTATCAATATGAAAAATAGCGTCTAAGGGTAAGCAGCACACTTCAGTGGGAAAAATAATCTATCCCAAACCCTGTCCATTTCCATCAAAGGATACTATCTGGAAGATATAAAGGTACATAAAATATACTTATTATCACATGTAGTTGTTGAACATGAAGAATTTCATGTTTTGATGGAATTTCACCCCCAAGAGACAAGGTCAGTACGTGATAGCTGCATCTCCGCGGTGCTGAAGACGTGCTTCACCCTGATTCCTTTGCATTGCCTCTCCAGCTGATTTCTGTATTGTGAATACACACCATAGAAAAAGTGAAAGGCAAACAATAAAAGTACCTTACAAAGAAGTATTTCCCACCTTCCAACAGAAGCCGAAGCCATTTCTAAAGGAATCCAACATATTTACTGCACATGGTCCCTCGTCATTCCAAAGAAGAGAGAGAAATAGCAATAAAAATATTTTGTGATTCAGCAAATCAACCAGAGGGATGTGGATTCTATGCATATTAATACTGACGGAATTGACTACACATTATTGCCCTCACACATCTTAGATATGAGTGGTGAAAAACTGATGCTATTGCTGGAACTGCATGTAGTCAACTGGTCCTGTATTTGTTTTTGATCATCAAAATTCATGGTATTTAATAAGTCATAGATGGTACCTCTAAGAAGACCTTGACTCCCACTCAGTTCCATCATTTGGGTTAACTGCATAACAGCATTTCTTAATTAGGGTCTGCTTTAGAATGCCCACGCTGTGCACACTGCCCGGTGCCACACAAGTGTCCACATTATACCCAAACAGCCTTTCTCTAGCAAGTTCCTGAAATTCGCCCATGAGCACTGGGTCCACTGTCCACGTTACTATTCCTTAGGGACCTCCAATTACATATCAAATATCTGGAAGAAGACAAGGTTAACAACCGGCAAGCACATGTGACTGCTGCAGTCACTTCCCTGAAAATGGAACATTCTGCTTTTAAAAAGCAAATTCAGGTTTCAAGTGCACACGTCCAGAGTTGGTAGATCAAAACACAATTAACTGAGGCATGTGTGTATCCAAAGTGATCTGAAAAGACTGATTCAGATTCTGTCCTATACAAATATTCAGTGACAGAGAGTTAGATGGGGATTTCATTGCACAACAAATAATTAACAATTATATACAAGAGAAAAAGAAAAAATTTAAATGTAATCAAGAAAGAACTATGAGGCCGATTACACTCAACAACTTCTTTGCACTACAACGCAGTTCAGAGTGAAAACAAAATGATCATTCTTGTTCTTTTGTGACGACAGGGGACTCCTGGTTGGAGAGTTAGAAAGTGAGGGCTTTTGAAAAGGTAACATCACTGTTGGGATGAGACTCCATACCCAAAAGGGATCCCTTCCCAGTGCCTAACTTTCTCTCGGAGGCCTGCCCTTGCACCGGGAGAATGTGGATCCAGTGACTGGTAGTTTAAGAAGGGAATCAAATAAAACACATTCATGACTTTGGCAAAAGAATGCATCTGTCAGCATAGAGGTGACAGGCCTAAAGCTGCTGTTGAACAGGACATCCGTGTGTTTATCTTTGTTAATCCGTACTGGCTTCTAGAATAATAAATGCCACTTCTATGGTCTAAAAGAAATAGATGGAAACATTTTGCTCCCTTTCTGGTCAATAAGGGCAACTGTATGCATTTGAAAACACCTTTAAATAAATCATTTCTTTTTTTTTCTTTTTTATTTTTTTTACTAAGGTGTGACCTCTGACTACTCTTCTCTTCTAAATGTTGTTGAGCATATATTATCATTTGAGAAAGAACTTTATTGTTCAAACTTTCACCCACAGCTTGGTTTCTTTCCAGGTGTTGGCTTCTATCACAATTACAATTTATGCCCCTGTAGGCCTGTGCCTCCTACATAGTGAGGAAAGGTGCCCATTCCATACAGGAACAGATATAAAAAATAATAGTGCAAGTTCAAATTCAGTTGGGATGGAAATAAAATTTTACCTGGGTAAGTCAACAAAATCATAGCATTTTAATTTTACACATAAATTTCACATACGGATGGAATTGGTTTGAAGGCGGAAACTGACATTTTTCATTACTGTAATTGCATCTGTTATTTAAAATTACAGTGTATTTGTAATCATTAATTTGGCTTAAAGACAAAGATTCGTTGGCAATTTCAAAGGCATTAGTTAAAGGACATTTGGATATCTTTTAAGTTTTGGATGTACAAATTGTAAAAATAGTATGGATTCATATTACGAGATTTTCCATACTATACAAAAGGTTCTTAGGTTTCAGTCACTGTAAAATATATTGAACTAAATCCTGTTCAATGATGCTAAAAATATATCAGTGTAAATAAAGATACCAGAACTCAGTGAGAAGTAAATAAAAAGCAGAATTCCAGCTTTCAGATGACTAATTACATAGAATTAGAATGCCCTTTAAGCAGTTAGAAGTGCAGTCTGACTTGGCAATAAGGGCACGTCTTGGTGATCCACCAGTGAACAGAAGCCAGTTGAAGAGATTTTAGCCCAATAAGAATGTAGAGAATTTTCATCATAAAGTCTCCCTACAAAGGAACGAAACACTATTTGGTGTTCTGATTTCTTATGTTTTTAGGGACGTCTCGGTGAATAAAGAAGGGACTTCTATTTCATTATATAGCTTATTTTCATTTCAAATTCTCAAATAATAAAAACTGTAAAACAATGGGGCTAATTTTAGTAAGAAGGGAATTAGAATAAGGAATATTGCATCTCTTTCATAGATTCCATGAAGTCTTCAAAGTGCTCTAAAAACACTATAAGTTTGATTAGCAGCAAAGCATTAGCCTAATCAAAACCTCTCCTCCCTCCCCCCTTCTATATGTATATAGACATTGTACAGCAATATATTCTATTAGTGTAGCTTACATCCGACAATTTGACAGTTATTCCCAGAGGCTGTGCAAGGTTACAAATACTGTCTACCGTCTTCAGACCACTAGCACCCAAGTGGTTAAGAGAGAACCAATCCTTTCCTTAAAACAACAACAACAAAAACAACAATAAAATTCAATCACCTATTTTGAATTTCTTTTAAAATAAAAAAAATGGGGGAATACAGTGAATCACCCAATATATTATTACTCTGGGGCCTGTAATTTTCTCTCTCTAAAACTATTTTTATACATGGAAGGCTAGATGCCTTTAAACGTAGTTTCGGCAACTCTAAGTATAAAATATTCCGTTGAAAAATATGACTTTTTGTGTGTTTGTTTTGTTTTCTCTTGTTTTTCAATGTGGAGGAAAAGTTCTGTGAGGAGCGAGTTTCTTCCCACAGATGGATTTTGCAGCATTTTCTCCCAGCAGCACGCCGAGAGCCCTGTCCTCTTGTGCCTGCTGGATGCAAGGAGCAGAGCCTTCCCACACTGCTGCGGCCACGTAACCTAGCACAGGACCTCCAGAAAGAGGCCTTGCAGGTGCCATGGCAGCTCGGTCTTTTCTTTTCCACACCCTTCCAGCAGCTCCCAATCCCTGGGCATCTGGTTGAGCTGAAGTCCAGAACCTGAGCTTCACTAGGAAAAACCAAGTCTGTTCAAAATGCAGGGTTTTCATCTTTTGGTTGGGTGATTCTTGGTCCCCCATGGATAGGAGTGATATCTAGAAGATTCAAAAGTGCAAAGAGTTTGCTGTAGTCACACATATTTGATTTCACACATTCAATTTCAAAAGCAGTAGCTCAGGTGTGTGTGTGTGTGTGTGTGTGTGTGTGTGTGTGTGTGTGTGTGTATAAATCACCGTGAAGAAAAGATGATTCTAAAACAAAATAGGATGGGGGATTTTTAGAAAGTCACCTTTTTGCTGAAGTTCAGTGCTAACTGGATCTTTCTCAAATTATAAACTCAATTAGAAATGATAGCCCTTGAGAGAAGAAAATAAACACCCAAAGTAGCTTGTGCTTTTAAACATCTAATTTACATGTTACCGGTTCATTGGGGGAAAAAGCAATGCAAAGCGCAGATTTTTTTTATCTTGCAAGTTTTACTTCTCAATACAGATTGCATTGTTAAAAATGGTGATATGTGCCCCTAAGTATATAAGGATGATATGCTTGCCATTTATTCACTCACAGGATTCAAGCAGTTTTACTGTCACAAACAACAATGATAATATTAAGTCACGCTAGGCTGTCTCCTTCTGGTAAGTAAGCTAAATGTTCATGAATGTAAAATATAATTAACCATACATCCTGCAAATGATGAAGAATACAGTGTGCTTCAGGCTGGCCAAGCCTGTTTTGACCTCGTTTCATTTTCTTTATACTACTTTCTTCCTCTCAACTCATTCTACTTCCTCTTCCTGGAAGCCCAGAAATGAAGGATTCCCCATTTTGCTGAGGGCTCCTTGCTGCTGTGTCTCTTTCTGTTACCATTTCCTTTCCCTACTACAGCATTTTGTGCCCAAGACGGTCTTCCGAACCAACTGTCCAAGCAGTCTCCCCTTTATTTAAACAGCTGCAGAAACTGTCCCTAAAGAGAGCTAAGAGATGGATAATGGCTTCATCCTGAGGCTGTCCGTCTGATAATGGTATCTCTCTATCCCTGACTAAATGGTCACTCTACGGCCGAAGCTAAAAGCATGCTATATCTTGGCTTCATGCTTTCGCTGCTGACGTAAGTCTGAACTGACTGTCTGAAGTTGTAAACTTCGGTAATACAGAAACTATGTATGCACTTCTCGGTGTGGTGCTTGACCAAGATCACTAGTAACATTCTGCAATGATGATGACAATGGCAATGAGAGCAACAGCAGATCTGGGCAGGTGCTGGTGACTTTCGGGGAGTTAAAGCAATGTTTCCCACTTCCAACCACATGTGAAAGATTGAAGAAACACGGGGCTAAACAAGGCCAACAGATTTCTTCCTTACAGCACATCTCAGACTCTGTGATATGGTAACGTGTGTCACCATCCTCTGAAAATGGAAAACTGTCCTTTCACAGTTTCCCAGATATGTTTGATCACAAAATTTTATTTTTCAGGGAACATCTATTAGCATCTGTGAGAATATTGGCTAGTCTATGGAACCAATTAAGGGAATACACTCCAGTGACTCTAAATACTAGTACAAAATAAATAAATACATACATACATACTAGTACATGTCCAGTGATATTTAGCATCCTCCATCCTCTGACTACAGAAAAATCATCACTGACATGGCTGATTTGATTCATATTTGGAATTATGTGTGTTTCCAGCTTGTGAACTATTAGGTGCTTCTAAGTGGAAGCTGACTTTCTGGGTAATTAATTTGGAACACCCATAAACAAGTAGTTTAGGCACAACCAAGGGTTCTTTTTACTAGTAAACTGTGAGGAGTCTTCCCTCAAGGTATACTCTATCATTGTTATCAGAAGATGAAAAGGGAATATCATGGCTGTAAGAATTTTTAGATGGCTGCTTCATTTTACTTTGGAGCATTTTAAGAATATTTTACGTATGTCCTATCCAACGTATGTTGCTTTAACTTGACCATTTAAGTCATGTCTCCATAGTCTATTCACTATTCTGAATAAAACTGTAAATAATTTTTGGTCTTTGTTACTAGGCATCTCATCATCTATTCATCGTAATAACAAAATGTGCGATGTCTTTTAATATAGGAGTGCATCTTTGAAAGTAGAAATAATGTTTGAATTTTTTAAAACTTAGTGACAGAACTTAAAAAGGATAAAAGCGAATTTAAAAATAAGACTACGACTAAATTTTTTAGGGAAAAATAAGAGCTCTTGTATGAGCTTCCCAACTTCCTTACACACCTGGTTTTTCACTGACATTTAGTTTATTTTCTGCCAAAGTATGAAGCCATTCATGGCCCGTGATCCTGAGTCTCTGAGCATATGTAGATAAATCATGACAAAAATGACTTTTGCCCCCACTCTAAGCCAAAGGCACTTAAAATAATAAGGGGCTAAGAGTCAAGAACAAAGACACTCATTCTATTCATGGAAAGTTGGATGTACTCGACCCAAATTGAAAATGAAAATTCAAAATCTCTCCAAGGAAGGTGGGAGAAGAGTGATTATGAAGATGGTGATTTCTATTAATAATATACCTTTGGAAAATGAGAATTACTCATCATATCTCTGTAGTTATAAATCACAACAGAACTAAATCTACAAAGGTAGTATTTTGGAAATATGTTATCAAGCCAAAAGAACAAGCAGTTGAATAAACTTAACTGTGTGATTCATACGAACAACTTGTTGTAATAGGAAAACTAAAAAAAAAAAAAAAAAAAAAAAAAAAAAAAAAAAAAAAAAAAAAAAAAAGGTGGAGACTGACATAACCTCAAAAAAGAATCTGATTTCCATATAATAACCTTCGCAGAATGCTCTCGAGGCCTCGTTCTCATACCATGGCTAATACCTTTGGAGATGACTTCTGGAATGATTGATTTTAATATGAAATTTATTGTCAAATTGGTTTCCATACAACACCCAGTGCTCATCCCAATAGTGGAATGATTTAAATAGTGGTCACAAGATAGCTTCACCAGCTGGAAAGGAAGGCAGCTCCTTCAGGCATGAAAGGCCACTCTGAGAGAACAAACTAAAGCAACTTGGAGCCACGCAGAATGTGGATGTGGCTGCTTACGATCAATGTGATGGTCTGTTAGGAGGGGCTCCTTAGAAAAGTCAAGAGGCAACTCGGATGGCAGACGCGGTGAGTGCCCACCTCCCCTCATCCACGCCACTTCACGGCGTGCCGGCCTACTTTCCAGCTGCCTGCACCAGCGTTTCTTTTCCTGAAGATTTCTCTGGCCTCTGGAGTCTGCTCTGTCCACCTTTACAGAAGGCCAGAAATGCCAGGGAACTAACATTCTCTGGGCAAAGGCCGCAAACAATGACGGATGGCAACTGGACGACAAATACCCGGGTTGCCTCAGCCCTTGAGTGGGATAACTGAGGTACATGTTCAGTACCAGCTCTCAGATTTCCCCAGCGGGATCAAGCCCCCATCAGCCACAAGGGTAAATTGCTTCAAAATGAAACCTTTATTGAATTATTTCTTCACTCCCCTACCAGCGTTTCCTGGAATTGCCTCTCAAGTAAACTCACTGTAGTCAAACCTTTGTGCCCAACACTGTGCCCAACAGTAAATGGCAGGAATCAGAACAGGACAAAAGTCAGAAAATAGTATATTTTTTAAAGCACCAATAGTGGTTATATTAGAAGATAATACATAGCTCCAGTAAACTGAGGTTTCTCACTTATGGTGATCAAGAGGCAATATATAACAACAAATTCCTTTCCCACCAACATATCTTAAATTCACCAGAAGTGATTCTTTGTTTAGTTGTATTCTCTCCCTCCCTCGCCCCTGCATTCTATACAAATGATGGGTAGATTTCAGTGAGAAATCTGAGTTTACAGCTCTACTAGAATGGAACAAATGTTTAGTTAAAAAAAAAAAAAAGCTTAGAAATGCCTTTCCATTTCATTATGTTTCTTATTTTTTAGGAGAGTAAATTACCACTAAGCTATCACCCTTTCTTTTTCAACACAGAAACAGCAGCTGCTTCCATACAAAAGATGGGCAACATATACTCTCCCCATGGTTGTATCTAGTCTAAGCCAAGAGATTTTACAGAAGTATTTAAAATGAAAGTTGAAAAAAAAAATCTCTGGAATCCAGGATAGAGAAATCAGATCTAACACCCAATGATCTCAACTGATTTGTCACATTTGAAAGAAAATTCCAGATCTCACCTGTTAGATTTAAAGTTGTAATAGCCACTTTCTTCTAGGACTTCTTCAATCACAGTCTGGAGTTGAAAAAAAAAAAAAAATCAGGTTAGTATTGAATTAAAAGCAACAAAATAAAATTGTTCAAAGGCACTGCAAAAACTTCACCTGCATCTGTTCATACGTTATTCCCTCCTCCAAATCAAAGCTGGTGCACAGACCTGAAATAGATAGATTATGGAAAGTCTGAACTCCGGTTCATATTTTCTTGATTAGACTTTATTGGCGATTACAACTCAACTGTAGTGAAAACGGTGAATTTAGACATGAGGAAGAGGAGTACTTATAAGCACATTCCAAATTGTCTTGCTTTGAATATTCAAACTCTTTCTTTCTCTTCCTTTAATAACTGGCTGCTTTTGGGGCGACCATCACAAAATAATACGCAAATAGTACACAAAGGTATAGGGGCATCTCACAGGGTATAAATCGGGTAATTTTGTTAGAGGGGTGGGTGTGTGTGCACACTAAGGACAGGTGAGGAGTATTCCAAACGCAAACTACTTGGTGAGTTTTCCGATCAAGAAATTCTCCTTAATCTACAAGCAAAACCAGTAAATATGTGCTAAAAAGAAAATGAATTCTTAGAGGGAGGCAGAAATAGACAGTGAGAGACAAGGAATACCTGGCCCTTTCCTATGACTGCCTCAAGGGAAATAAAATACATTTAGTGCCAAAAGGCAAGACTTTCTTGGATGTCTGTTCTAAGGATGATCTACCAGCACCTCGCCCAACTGAGAGCCACCCGAGGCAACGCTGACCAGCTTCCACTGCAATCAATCAGCACTGGTGTGCTGGGAGGCGCGGGAGCTCCCCTCCACTTAGGGGAGACAAGAGGTGCTGGGTTGACGTTGAGGGGAGGTGTGGGGCTGAGTCCTGGCAGGTCGTCTTCAATGCTCTGCCTTCAGGGGTTCCCAAAGTGCCCGCAGCCTCTGCTGTCTGAGCTGGTGGCCAGCCTGCTTGGACGGGACTCGTCCGCTCCACCTTGGGGTGGCATGTCAAGCTGCCACAGGCTGCCCCGGGGATTTGCACCAGAACTCTCCGTTTCATCAGAGTTGCCGCTGTAAGAAGTCTGGCCCGCAGACTGACTGGCCTGCCCTGGGGGCACTTTTAAAAGCAAAAGACTTTCAACAACAGTTTTTCTTGAGCTTATGGGTTTCTCAGGGAGTATTCTAAATGTAATTCTGCCTATGGGCTCGCTTCATCCCAGGGGTCCAAGACTTAAGGAAAGTTTGAGAATTCATATATGAGATGATTTGCCTAAATCGAGGAGTGAGGGCAGAGTGAGTCTCCCTCCCTTTAGCCATAATTCCTATCTATTTCAGAACTCAGTGATGTAACTCTAGTTTATAGGGACTTCAAACTTATTTAAGAACTCTAAAACCTCAGAGTAGCTTGAAAACCTCTTCTGAGAGTTCCATTATCATGAGAAGAATTACATTACGCTGAGCCCCTGCTAATGGCCAAGCACTTTTTATATGTTTACACTGGCCCTCACCATCACCCTAAAGTGCAAGTACCATTTTTACCCCCATTTTACAGGCAAGAAAACCGGGGCTCAAGGGGTCGAATAATTTGCCCAAGGTCAACTACTAAATGGTTAAGCTGAGATTCAAATATAGGTATCCAGGTTTTGAGAATCCACACCTTTCGTCCCTAGGCGATGTGGCCTCCCTATGTGAGATTTATGCAAAAAAGAAAAAAATTTAAATATGTCTAATGTGGATTCTGCAGGTAAGTTTCAAATTTTCTCCATTTTAAATATCCAAACTCTTCACTTCTGCTTTTGGGCATTTGATTTTGCATCATCAGATAGCAAGAAGAAATAAAAGGAAATACAATTCACCCACACAGATTCTGCTGTTTGTTTATGGCATTAATAAATGATCAAGGAAGCTGCCACAGCAGGGTACAATAAATCTCAGGGAATTTCTATATTCCTACTGTATATCCTTTCCAACTATTGCCATAGATAATCAAAATAAGCTCTTTCTTTTAAATTGAAGATAATCTTTTAAGGGTAAGCTGTTGATCCAAATAATAGATTTCTTTGTGAAAGCCAGATTTCCGGTGTTGCAGGCCATTACCTGTTGGGTCATCTGGGGACAGGCTGTTTCCACTTGATGAATGATGTAATAAATGGTAATCCACTGTGAAAAAGTTGGGCTCGATTGGTTCTGGAGATCCCTGAGATAACTGGAACAGAAAAGGCAAAGCCACATGTTATTCTGCACTCAGAAGCAAATGATAGGAGATCACTTTCCCTATGTCTCCACATGGAGAATTTAGTGCTGTGGTTTTCAATCCCTTGTAAATAGATAAAGGCACATCATCCTTTCAAAAGAACTTGTAAATTAGAGGCAGGCAAATTATAGCAGAAGCAAGGTAGACAATTCCCTGGTCACATGAAAAAGTAAAAACAACTCTGCACTTTTTAGTTTTATGAGAGCAAGATAAAAATGGATAGAAAAATAATGGCATGGGCTTGGAACATCAAAATGTTATTTGTATCAGGCCTATGAGGAATAACCTCCAGTTATTCAGCAGAACAATATGTTTAGCCCACATCATCATTGTTTTTCATGTATCTGCTTTGAACAATGCCTTCTTGTTTGACCAACACAACCAAGTTTCTTAATACATTTTGCTAAATTACTGTTGGTTAATTTTAATCTCCAAATATGAATCCTCAACACTCTAAAGGAGAGAGTTATTCACTAAACGACAGAATTTATTAAGGTTCCAATTATTTAATGGTCTTCTATAAAGCTGAATTTTTTAAGCAGAATTTTAGGCTATAAATATTTCTCAATCTCCTTTCACCTTTAATTCCAACCAGCACTCGGGCTGGCCAAGTTTTCATGTCTGTGTTAATGTAACATATTAAAATGCCAATTCTTATTAATAAACCAGAAACAAATGGCACAATTTAGACTGTGCAATAGTAGTTGCCTTGGATTCACATGCTCTGCTCAGGAATTAAAATACACCATTGTTCAATCACTTGAGAAAACTCGCAGCATTCATTAAAATTCAACAACTATGCCTACCCTGTGACCCAGCAATCGCACTCTTAGGTATGAACACAAGAGAAATGAAGGACTTCTGTCCATCAAAAGAGGTACACAAGAATGTTCATAGCACCTTTATTCATAATAACCGGAACTGGAAAAACCCCAAATGTCTACAGACAGAAGGATGGGTAGATATATTGTGGTGTGCTTATCCAATGGGATTCTGCAAAGCACAAAAAAGAACAAGCTATAGATACAAACCGTAACAGGAACAAACATTGAGCAAAAGCAGCAAAAAGAAAACATAACGTATGACCTCACGTACATGCATGTTCACAATCTGGCAAAGCTAACCAATGGTGATGAAGGTTAAGATAACAATTACATTGTGGCAGGGGATTTGACCAGGAAAAAGCAAGCAGGAACCTTCTTCAGCACAGGAAATGTTCTACATAGTGATGAGGGTGGTGGTCACATGGGTGAATGTGTAGGTAAAAGTTCATGGAGCTGGCCAGGTACCTCACTGTAGGCATTGTGCACTTTGTACCCTAATGAAAAACATTTTATATGAGCAACTATTATTCCATCTATGTACTTTGGACACTATTAGTACAAATCATTTTTGTGTTTTCTAGTCTCCATGTTGCCAACAAATGTACTGTAGAAAAAACTAAGGTTCCACCCTTTTTTATTCTTGAAAATTTACTTTCTTTACTTCAGTGACAACTGATAAAACTAATAACCCATTTGTAAAGGGACAAGATCATAGGATTGTAACATATCGTAATGCAGGAGGATCAGATAGTCACATGCTTACTAATGCTCTCGTCAGTGCCATTAGGATGCCACAGAGGTAGCCCTGATCACTCGGCGTTTCTCAGAGCCAAGCTAGTAGCTTGCTCCAACTAAGCTTAATACGTCTTGTAATGCTGAAAATGATTTCCTGGTATTGCCTTCCAAACGACTTCAGATGGGATTGTTTTTCATGTGATTGAGCATAGGAGTAATTTGGCTGCCTGAAGTGCTCATCCTAATTATAGAAGGCTTATTTAAGTCAACTTAATTATTTAGTAAACACCTTGGACTCCTCTTTCCCAGACGGGAAGTGTTTAAAGCTGTACAGTGATATATGTGAATTGTGACCCAGAGAGATCAAGAGAGCCATTTTACAATGACAAAGGCAAGTTCTTTTCCTTGATGCAAACCTTGAAGAGAGGAGTACTTGAGATTTCCAGTGCCTTTCACATAAGCAGTGTCCTTTAGCTTAAGAGCTGCAAATCCTCAGAGGGATGGGCCCATGGATGAAGGCAAGGGCTGAAATTCGGTTGAATCCCTTTTGTGTGTTTGAATCCCAGATACGTTTATTTTTATTCCAGAAACTTCTCGGAACTTCTTGCAGTTCAGTGTTTCGACCTACATATTCTTTAAGTATATCGTTTTTGCCCCTCGCTGTGTGTCATGGTCTGAGCAGGTTTTGTAAAATAGAGATGAAAACCATCGAATCCCATATACCAATGGTCTATCCAGCTTATCAGCACCAGGCTGGGCAGCATGGAGGACATAGAAATGATGTGGCCTGCAATTCGGGTAATTAGGCTAATATACACGAACAAAATGGTGAAGGAATAAACACTGAAGTGTAAAATGAGGTGGGGAGTTCTAAGCTTCCAAAAAGAAGTATGCTTCAAGAAGACCAGCATGATTTTCAGAAGCTCTGGAGCAGAAACACTGGAGCCAAGTCTTGAAGGATAGATTTGGGTGGATGCAAGGAAGTGAAGCAGACATTCCAGGTGAGTAGAACTTGGGGGTAAAGGCTGGGCACTGCATACCACTAGCAAGGTGAATAAAGGGATGTGACATAAGTCCACATTATAGAGATGTGGGGATCTAGGCTGAAGAGAGGAAGGCAAGTGCCGCTCATTAATTCAGTGGGGATTTTCTACCAACTATTGTGTGCCACACACACAGATCCAAACAATGGAAACAACCAATGGTGGCCAAAAATTCTACCCTGGAGCTTACTGCCTAATTGGGGAGGAATATGTCTGTGAAACAACCACCTGGATATATGGGAAATTGCAACTGTGCTGAATGCATTAAAGGACAGATCTATGGTTCTAGGAGAACAGACAGATTTAACTGTCTGTTTAACTGGGGAGAGGTTTTCTGGAAAAAATGACACTTCTGCCGAGAGCTGAAAGAATCAGTGAGAATGAGTAAAGGATGGAAAAGGAAGATCTTTAAAAGCAGAAAAACAAGCATTTGCAAAGACTTAGGAGGAAGCTGCGTGGTAGACAGGCCTCAGACAGTGCCTGTGGCTGGTGTAATTTCGACCACGAATGGCAAGAGAGTAGGAGATCAAGGTGGAGAGGTGGGCAGGGCTTGGACCAAACAGGACTGTCAATATGGTGGGTAGGATTTGGCAGTTTATACTAAGAGCCCCTGAACAGTTTTCAGTGTGTAGGGTGTGTGTGTGTGTGTGTGTGTGTGTGTGTGTGTGTGACATGATCAGATTCTGTTTTGAAAGGATCATTCTGGATGCAATGTGCACAGCAGTCTGCATGAGGCTGGTGATGCCAGGGTGGGTGCAGACCCAGAGGAAGGCTCCTGCAAATAATGCCAGCCTAGAAGCTGGGAGCCAGAGTTTACATGGTGAGGCAGGAAACTGGAGGCTATAAAGCTTTTCGAGTATGCCTTAAAAAAAAAAAAAAGCTAGTGTTTAGAAACTCTTAGTCCTGCAAGATGGGTTAGAGAACAGGGAGATCATCAGAGAAGCTGTGGCACTAACACCAGGGAGAAGTGCTAAGAGCTTGGACTAGGTGTTAGCCAAGAGGAAGATCAAAAACCCTCACTAATAACACTAGTAGTGCCTACAGCCATTTACTGAGAACTTAAACATTCTAGACACAGTGGATGTTCTATCTGGTTCTTACATCTACCTCTACGGTGGGCATTATCCCTGTTCCACAGATGGGGACACTGAGAAGGAATGTGCTCAAGGATCATAGCTAGCAAGTGGCAGAAGCAGGGCTAGAACCCAGGGCTGTAACGTCAAGGGGTGAGCAAAACCGCGTTATGTGAAGAAGATCCCGGGTGTTGATGACTCACAGGGCAAAAGAAATAACATGGAGCAGCCGAACATGACCGCAAGGCTTAAAAACTGAGGAAAAGGAAAACATGCTTCCAGCGATGGTGATGCAGATGGAGGGAGGAAGAGGAAGAGTCCGATTCTGGACACACGAGACAGGCAAGAAAATGCTCACCCCGTAGGTGGAATACGGATGCTACCACAGAATGTTCGAAGCAGCGGCCCCTACGACTGGCAGAGGCTCAGAGGTGGCCAGCAGTCCTGGGCCATGTGGGCCCTTTTTTGCCTCTTGAGCATTCAGCTTACAGGGGCACTGCCATCTCTGGCTTGTATGTCCTGTTGGGAAGAATGCTTCTGAAATGACGGAAAAGGGCTCTCCTGCCCTGAACAAACATCGACAGTTCTAAGGAGCAAATGACTGTACACACTTTGGAACTAGAGCCAAGTAAACATTAAAGAGAACAAACTGTGTCCCTGTTACCACCCCTCCTCCCCCCACCCCAAACTCAACTGATTTTGAGCAAGGGCTGAGCAATTTTGGCTCGTCATTGTTCAAGTGAGAATATAGTACTTTTGGGGCAGAACCTAAATGAGAAGCAAAAAAAATGTAATCTTCATTAAATTCCCCAAACTATATCTTCTCTTCCATATCATAAAATGAGGGGATCTTCGCTGCAGAACAACTACACAAATTATTTGGAATCTAATGCACTGAGGTAGGACTCCGAAGGAAATGAAACAACATAAATGCAATGAGGTGCCAGAAATGAGAACATTTTTTTTTTAAATTTTTTTTTCAACGTTTTTATTTATTTTTGGGACAGAGAGAGACAGAGCATGAACGGGGGAGGGGCAGAGAGAGAGGGAGACACAGAATCGGAAACAGGCTCCAGGCTCCGAGCCATCAGCCCAGAGCCTGACGCGGGGCTCGAACTCATGGACCGCGAGATCGTGACCTGGCTGAAGCCGGACGCTTAACCGACTGGCCACCCAGGCGCCCCATCATTTTTAAGGCACTAAATCACACGTCACTCACCAGCCCTCTCTGATCTTTCTCCCTTCAGATTTCCCTGTCCTCTTTGACTGAATTGTAA